ATACAACTGAAGTTATTTCTTTTGCACAATGAAAAAGAAGAGTATATTATAAAAATCTATCTATCTATCTATCTATCTATCTATCTATCTATCTATCTATCTATCTATCTATCTATCTTGTCAGTAGAGATGTAGTCATTCATATGTCACCATTTCCAAATCAGACATCTTAAGGAAAGGTTTTAGAAGAGGTAGCTGGGTCAACCTATGCTAGCATATCAGGCAAAACCCAAATTGGCTATAAATAATAAAAAAGATGAATGTGGTCTGAGGAAGTGGACTTGTCCATGAACGTTCAGAGAGAGAGAGAGAGAGAGAGAGAGAGATTGCTGATGCCATAGTAAGGCAACAATAAAAGGATTTATGTGCAACAATGCAAGGTGGGTTTTTTTTAACCAGAATTCAAGTGACTGGCACAAAAAAAATTATTGCCGACTTTTACTGGAGGAAAAGGGAGGGAGAACAACCTTCAAAATCATGTTCCGTGATTAGAACATTTTTGGAATGTTTTTGTTTTACCATTCAGAAAGATATATACAAAGATTTGCACATTGGCTACCACTGGCTTTACAGCACCTGGACAACAGTGTTAGTGGGAGATATAAAAGACAGGTTCAAATAGTATCTGGATGTCCTTGAAAATCTGGGCTCCAACTTACAGAGGTCTAAAGCCAGTGCTAAAAATTGTGCTGGAAACTAGCCACACAGCTGTTGTAAAGCAGGTGAGAGATCTTTCAACTATCCTGTTTCTTCCCTTCATGTTTTGGAGTTATCTAAATTCCAGAGTAATCTTTAAAAGCATTTCCACGTACAATTCATAATCAGTACCATAATCCAGATACTATCAGGGCATGGACGACGAGGTGTCCAGGTTGTCATTATTTAACGTTATGGTGTATTCTTCACTTTCTTTCAAAAGGTGCCATTTTTGTCAGCATTTATCGTTAGAGTTTCTGTGTAGTCATCATCCTTGTTTGTTGCAAATCCCTCTCAGTCCATGGATTTAGTCTTAAAGACACTAACAACTCTTTTGGGCTTATTGCTTTCAGTACATCTACCAGGCAAGAACAAAAAGTCCACTTGCTAACAGCCTCTTCAAATCATTGCTGTGGAAAAATTATAGTAGTAGTTTGGAGTGTGTGATTCTACAGTGTGTTCTGCCCAACCTTCCCATTCCAGCCAAAAAATAAAGGGCAATCCTTCACCTTTTTTATTTGAGACTTTTGAGTGGTTGAAGAACATCTAAAAGAAAGCAGAGAGATGAAGCTCTCACACTAGAAGGAAAATCAGTTTTCCAAGTTTTCTGTCAGGAAGACAGAAAATTCTGACCAGAGAATTGTATTCCCATGTCATGTTTTTCTTTGCAAGGAGAGCACAGCTTCCCAAAAAATAACCTTTATGCTCAAATAAGCAGTAAATGGCTGATATAATAAGGCTGGCTATCTCAAAGAGTTGGAGTAAGCTAGTTTAGGAGTTTGATTCTCCATGATATGGGAGAAGACAAAAATGTTGTGGCACCTTAAAGACTGATTGCTGTATTTTAATATGAGCTTTCATGGATGGACAAGTCCACTTCCTCAGACTAGGAAAGCTTTTTAATGTGAGCTTTCCTGGACAAGTCCAGTTCCTCAGACCATGAAAGCTCACATTAAAATAAAGCAGTTAGTCTTTAAGGTGCCACAATGTATTTATCTTTTTTATTTTGGTTTTGCCTGATATGCTAGCACAGACTAATACAGATACCTCTTTAAAAACTACAATTCTGGGAGAACAGTTATCCTGCATAGCCTTTGGGAAGCTGCACAGCTTCAGAGTGCCCTTAGGCACTCTGAAGGAAGGAACAGTAAGCTACTTACTTCTGGTATTTTATATCGAGGAAACTTTAGCAAGGGTGTAAGTTGAAATTTAATTCACACCACATAAGTATTAGTATTAGTACCCTGTTTCCCCAAAAATAAGACAGGATCTTATATTAATTTTTGCTCCAAAAATATATTAGGGCTTATTTTCAGGGGATGTTTTACTTTTTTAATGTACAGCAATCTACATTTATTCAAATACAGACATGTCATCTTCTTCTGGTTGCTGCATAATGGTGGAGGGCAGGGTTTTACTTAACTGGGTCTTATTTTGGGGGTAGGGCTTATATTATTTATAAGCATCCTGAAAAATTGTACTAGGGCTTATTTTCAGGTTAGATCTTATTTTGGGGGGAAACAGGGTATTAGTATTAGTACGTATTAAACAAGATCCTTTGGTTGCAAGGAAATTGCTTTCCTCCACCAATCTTCCTGTTGGTTGTTGTAGGTTTTTCGGGCTGTTTGGCCATGATCTTGAGGTTTTTCTTCCAGAAAAAAACTTCCAGCTGAACAGCCCAAAAAACCTACAACAACCATTGGATCCTGGCCGTGAAAGCCTTCAAGAATACATCAATCTTGTCCTCGCCATGAAAGCCTTCAAGAATACATCAATCTTCCTGTTTCCCATGGTATGAGTTTTGCTTTTGTTTCTTTATTTTGTTTTATGTACTACATATTAAGAATTTATTTTTTAATTAATGGACAGGTTCCAGCCGATGGAAGTAAGTTTTTCTGTGCTCGCTGGTGTTTTCTCGTGAGTAAATATGTTTAATATTGCAACCATGCAGTGCAGTCTTATACACTGTGCTAAATGGGCTTTCCTCCCATGTAAATCGCAATAGGATTGCAGGTTCATCTTTGCTTGCATTGGAGGTGATATGCTAAAGTTTAGAGTGGAAGTAATTTTTAATATTAAATATATATCTTCTGAAAATTGTTATTTTTACAATGGAAATAGCATTTTCCCTTTTCCCGAACTAAGCAAAACAACAAAGGAGACTATAACAGAAAACCTAAAGTGGCAAAGAAAAATTCACACAACCCGGTTTGAACCTGTTTCCTCAGGAATAAGTAAATTTAAAGGGGCTTGTCTTAATTAATATGCTTAGGACCTCATCCATAGTCTCTGAAAATTTAAAGGGGCTTGTCTTAATTAATATGTTTAGGACCTTATCCATAGTCTCTGAAATATCCTAGAGGTGTATTTCATTATGCGCTCCTATTAATCTGTAAAGTTATTTCTGTGTTTTTCCCCAACCCCAGTCAGGACAGCTGGTGGTGAAGGCTTCTGGGAGTTGCAGTCCAAAACTCCTGAGTAACCCAAGGTTAAGAACCAGTGTCCTAGAGGTGTATTTCATTATGTGCTCCTATTAATCTGTAAATTATTTCTGTGTTTTTCCCCATTCCTCATTTTTGCGAAGACTTCTCTGGTGAAGTCTATTTTTATTCTGTTTTGTTTAAATATTGTGACTTATTCCATGCCAGAGTGGTTCCAAAGGGACCATCTCCTTGCCAACTAATTTCAGACATAAAATGGATTAAAAAAAAAAACATTCAATAGTTTCTCCTTTGAGGTGAAACTATTTCATCAAGCCATTGGTGTGCTCAGTCCTTATTAAAAAGCTTCTACTAATGCACAGAACAAAAGAGGTGGCAAAAGAAAGTAGAAAAAGAACGGATCTACTTCATGCAGAGTTAACAATTAAAAATGTAAAAGCTCATTTTTTTTACTCGTTTAATTTGTGATAAAATTTCAGTTTGATTTTTCGCATTCAAGTGATGTAATAAGGCAATTGGTGGTTATTACTCATGAAGGTTCCATCTTGCCTCTTCTGTTTTAAGCACTGGTGGAACTGACTCATGAGAACCTGGATTCACTCATGAAAACTGACTAGGAGGTGGGATAGAACTGGTAAACCTATTTCTTAAATATCTCACTCATCATGACAGCCCTGTTAGGGTCAGTTCCAGCTGAACATAACATAACATAACACATCTGAAGCAACATGTCTTTCAGTACCAGCCAAGATTGGGAACACAGGTGGAACAGGGCCTGTTGCCCTCTCATTCTGATTGTGGCTTCACATAGTCATCTGGTTGACCTCTGTAGTATTGGGTTCTGAGTGCTGCAAAGGATTCTGGGAAGCATCCTAAGGCACATGTTCAGTTAAAGCAAGCTGTGGGTAAGAACACTTGGGTCACAATTTCATTTTTTGTGCACGTAGGGCACATTGTGGAATGTATTTAATACTCTATGTGACTTTGTGTTACAGGAAAATTTAGATCCAAAGGTGTGGCAAGTTATCTTTCAGAACAGTGCTTCCCAATCTTGGATCCCCAGATGCTCTTGGATTAAAAATCCCAGAAGCCTTCACCATTAGCTGTGCTGGCCAGGATTTCTGGGAGTTGCAGTCTCCAAGAACATTTGGGGACCCAAGGTGGGGAACCACTGTTTTATTCTCAAAAAGTGTCCATCAATATAGCTTGCTGATACCTGGAACCCTCAATTGGCATTAGTTCTGACACTTGCCTTGAACTTCTGTATGATGGATGGTTGAGTTTCTAAGCTAGGTCTCCATTTTGATTCTGTACAGTGTCCCTAAGTGACTACATTCCAGGGCATCCTGGGAAATTAAACTGGCCCAGCCCAAAGCATCTTTGAAGTACTATTAACAAGCTAAGCCTGAGAAGGCCCACTAATGTAAGAACCCCTCTCCACTCTAGGGTACACTGTGCATGATCTCCCCCTTACACATGAGTGTTTATCAGTCACCCAGCTATGGAATTTTGTAGTCTTTTGGAACATGCTTTGGAAATCAGTACAACAGAAACTGTCAGCTATTAAATTGCACTAGAAAACTGTCAACCAAAGAGTACCTGACCACAGCTTCCCTCCCTCCCCCACAAAAAAAACCCCTGCACACATTTCTGAGGGAAACTGAGGTTTTATTTAGTGGCACTTCTTGATGTTCCAGAAAAAATTAAATGTTGGCACTTAAAGATACCAAAGCTTCCTTTTAATAAAGGAAGTCTCTTTCTTTCTGGAAGTCAAAGGAACTGAGAGTTGCATCTTTTTGTGTTTGTCACTGAAATTTTTCTCTTTTATTTCTCCTTCTCCTCATCTGTTCCAACCACCCCAAGGTGCTTGCTTCCCAAGTTATTTGGAATGTCTGAATGGCAAATGTTACACACCAGAACAACGCTGCAATTTTGAGGATGACTGTGGGGATAATACTGATGAGAAGGAATGTGGGACCTCCTGCACTTTTGAAAAGGAGATGTGCGGATGGAGGAATTCCCTTGCAGATAATTTTGACTGGGTTATGGGAACAAGCTTACCACAAGGCCTCGTGCCTTCCAAGGACCACACACTCGGAAACAGGAAAGGTATGGTGCTAAAAATAGTTTTGTATCAGAAAACACTCATTTGCAAAACAATGTCTTTGCAGTTGTTGCTTAAATGTGACATCATTTGTTCCTAGGGAGTTGGACTGTTTCTCAGACACAGATGGGAAGCCCAGACATTTCTGCAGCACCACAAAAGTTTTGTGATTTGCTGCCAGATAACAAGCTAACATAGTTGAGAATCCAGTGACTCAGTGCATGTAGGCTAGGAGGGCACTAATTATCCTGAGGGGGTCAACACAAGTCAACCAAAGCTTCACCCGATCAGGCCTGTGAATAATTTTCCACATAGTGAACAGGTTGGAAATCTTTGGCCATAAAGAAGCCCCAGCCAGAAAGGCAAAAGATAAAAGGATTATGGGACTTATCTAAAATTCTTGATGGGCTGAAGGTCTCCCATTGCTATCTGAGGGTCAAACTAGATGACACAATTAGCACATTCTTAGAGTCTCAAAATGTAGGATCTCGGTGTGGTGAAGTGGATAGAGTGATGGACTAGGATTCTGGAGAACAGGGTCTGAACCCCCACTTGGCCATTGAACCTCATGGAGGAGGAAGCTATTAAAACCATGCCTTAAATATCTTACTTGCCTTAAATGTCCCATTAGGGCCACTATAAGTCAATTCCGACTTGATAGCAAGAACACACACACAGCATCTCAAAGCATGTTAGGGTTCTGGTGTCCTCTTTCCCTCCAAGCTTTCTGCCTATGCCATCAGGCTTGCTAATGAAGCTAGTGATTACCTCCTGATGAATGAGCACAGAACAAGACAAGAGGTGAGAAATGCTCCTGCTAAGACAAGCAGATACTGTTCAGCACTTAAAAGAATGCTAACGCCGGGAGGGGGCCCACAGGGATCCCCAAGAGGCGTTGCCTTTGCCAGCCTCCCGGATGCCACGCGAGGCTACAAGACTCACTCGAGATCAGCCGAGGAGCGTGGGCTGAGCAGGGCATATGTAAGGGGGCAGCCATGTTGGTGGCTCCCCTTTCGTTCTCGTAAGCGGCATTCTCACCCGCCCACCCTATATGCTAGTGCGGGATTAGCTGGTCGTCCCTTGCTGGGGGGCGGATAGGAATTTTTGACCCGCCTCCTGATTGGCAGGTGGAGGCAGGGATTTTTCACCTATCCTGCACTAGATTAGGAGGATTGGTTTTAGTAAGGGCGGTAAAATTCGGTCACGCAGGGGTGGGTAGTGCGAACGGTATTGGAACTTGGATTATATGTTAATGACAGAAAATGGCAGTGCGTCTCAGCTCCCAGCACTGCCGATCAGGCGATCTCGGTGCTGGGAAGGTAGGATGCACTGGGGATGCACCTGGACCCACAGTTGGCACAGAGAGAAGGAAAGAGGGTCTTGGGAAGGTAGGATGCACTGGGGACGCACCCAGACCCACAGTCGGCACAGAGACAAGGAAAGAGGGTCCGGGAAAATGAAGGCCGATAGTTATCCCATGGTAAGGAAGAAGGGGATGACTGAGGCCGGAGCATGTTCCATGTTTATGGAAATGGAATGGATTCCAATAAAGTGTGGCCCATGATTTACCCACAAACTTGGTCTCATCTGGTTATTCCGGGTAGGAGGGCAATTCTGCTTGTGACAATGTGCTATCTCTATTATCTAGTTTGACTTTCAATTTAGGAGGGTAGCCTAGAAGTGAAAAGAAAGGACTGTGCATGCTAAAAGAATACAAGCAGTTTCCCCAAATTATTGCATGTGGGCAATGCAACCTTTTATTAGAATTGCAGCAATTCCAGCTTTGAAAGTTATGGTGTATTTCTTGCTTCCTTGGTTTGAAACCTGATTAAAGCATCACATGTGGGCAGATTTTTCCATCACTGTGTCTATTGCTGAATGGGTTGCCCAGTCTTGTTTTCTTCGTGTCTGGTGTTTGATTGTGCAGTTTCCTGTGGCAAAGCAAGGGAACATTAATACAAAGTTCAGTTTGCTCTATAAGGAAACTGTTCGTAATAAATATTTCAGCTGCCACCGCAAACAGCACTGCTCCTGCAACTGTTTCTTTTTTTTATAATGATACACTGGTGAATAATATTCTGTGCTATTTGTGAAAACCCTCAAGCCCTCAACACCATTATTTCCATGCAGTGATAATATAAAGTATGTCTGCGGCATTAGAATTGACCTTTTCCTTATAGCACTTGATGATGATGAGCAGTTTCCCTTAGAGATGGCATAGCAGCATCCATATCCCAAAAATACTGTTGCAAATGTAAAACAAACAAAACCGAAGGGAGGAAAAATCCACAAATGAACGGCAAAGTCAAATCTACAAGGGGGAAACTCTCTCCTGATTCATGAGCTTTTTAATCAGTTTAAAAACACTTGTTTGTTTATATGGTGCCATCAATGTGCGTGGACTATTGCAGTACCTATGAGGACAGGTTCTGCCCTAGGATGCTGCAGTCTAGAGTAGATCACAAACGAAACAAAAGAAGAAAGAAACATAGATAGAGACATGGCTGAAGAAGGGAAGGTTGTACATTTATTTCAATTATTTTTAAATTATTTTATTTATTATTAAATTTTTATCCTGCCCTTCTAGACTGCATTTACTCAGGGCAGCTCACATCAAAATCATACATAAAAACTTTTTTAAAAATAATTTAAATCGACAATATTAATGTTAATCAAGATGGAAAGGTAAGCAAAAGGCCAAGCAGAAAGTAAAAGTCAAGTATTGGCAGGAGGGAAGGCCTGCCTAAAGAGCCAAGCCTTTAATTATGGAAACATAAGTCTAGTGGAGAGTTGGAGAGAAAGAATAATTCAATCAAAACATCATAAAATTGACCCAGTAGCATGGATGGATATGATTTCATAAAATCCAGGCCTCCCCCATGTTGCTTGTCTAAATCTTCTTTCTTTTGTTCTGCAGCGCATTGAATTGGGACATGCTAAATTCAATGGTATTTAATTCTGATTAGATGTGCACAGAAGCATGCTGCTAATCCATGACCCTCCCTGTACCAAACAGGCAGGGTATAAGTTTAAAGCCTTAGAGTTTGCCTTCAAATCTTTTGTTTTTCTTTGTCAAGTCATTCCTATAAAAATAGAGGCAAAAGAAAAACAAAATCCAAACAAAATATATTTTCCCTGGTGATTTGGGTTTAAAAGAAGCTTTGCATGAATAGCACATTGTGGCTTTATATTTTTTTCAACCATTGCCATTTCTTTGCAAAGGTGTTTAACACTGTACTTCTGCAATAATAGGAGCCAGTGTGCTGTAGTAGATGGAGTGCCAAACTAGAGCTCTAAAGTTGTTATGTGCCATCAAGTTTTGGAAACAAACTTATAGTGACCATAATAGGAATTTCAAAGTAAGTGGGATATTTAACGACTGGTTTTACCACTTCTATGCCCCCAGTGAGTTCCCATGGCTGAGTGGGGAATTGAACCCGGGTCCTGTAAGTCCTTGTACATCACTCCATCTGCAACACCACACTGAGTATCAGGACTCAGTAGAGCTGGGTTCAAATCTTTGTTCATTTGTGGAAACTCACTGGGATGTGTGTGAGAGAGATAAGAGTACAGTGGTGCCTCACTTAATGAGTGCCTCACTCAACAATGAATTCGCATAACGATGGCCTTTGCTGGAAATTTTGCCACCTCACCTAACGATGTTTCCTATGGGGGATTTTCGTATAACGATGTTTTGGACCTTGCTTCACTTAACGATGACAGTTTTAGGTCCCCTGTTTCACTTAACGTTTTTTTTGACAGCCCTGTTTTCGCTATTTTAAAAATATTCTAAAATGTTTAAAAAATGTTTAAAATGCTTGGAATCATTAGTGCACCTAATAAAACCTTCGTTGAAGTAATTTGGCTTCGTTCTGAGTCTTTTTGAATTTTTGGTGATTTTTTTTCACCATTGAAATGTGTTGAATAGGCTCCTATTGGAACGGATTAACCGGTTTTCAATGCATTCCTATGGGAAATGGTGTTTCGCTTAACGATGTTTTCACATAACGATGTTTTTAATGGAACTAATTAACATCGTTATGCGAGGCACCACTGTATATCACTCCTAAGGCACCTCACTTACCCTGAAAAGACTTGCCACAATTTTGAAGCAACAACACCCTAAAACATAACACTTTACAGAACTGGCATATATTGTAAGGACTGGAGCGATATACAGCCAGTTCTTTGTTCTCCTACATAATTAAATTTATCCAACTTCCTTCCTTTCAAACCAAGCCAAGGTCAGCACATAGCGCTTGTTTCTTGGACAGACCTGGTGACCTAACACTAGTACAGGCACACTAATAAGCTGATGTGAAGGAAAGGAGATTTGAAACAACCACGGAGTTCTCTACTTTTTGTAAAAGTTCACTTTAAGTAGATGAATCCACTAAGGGGGATTTTAAATTTCCCTATTGTCAGGGATTGTAGAATTAAAACAGATATGTGAAAATAATACTGTATTTCAGTTTAGAAAATATCTCAGCACATCCATATTTTACCTCCTTCTAATCAGAGTAAAATCATGCACTAACTTTAGTCAAGCGAGGCAACAACCTAAGGCATCTGATTCAGGAGAAGTGAATATTTTCTCAGCTTTGACTCTGCATGCTTTGTGCAAATCCTTCTCCAGTGAATATCCCTTCCCTGATTACAGTGGAGTTAAGGATGAGGAAATATTTCAAACTCTTTGACGCCTGTACCAAACTTTTGGAGATTCCCCAGATTCAGTAACTTACTCCATGTCTCCATTTCACTGTCTGAAAAATGGCCTGATTGGCCCTTACCAGTTCTTCATTTAGATAAAGAGAAAGGCCGTGGAGCTCATGCATGCCATGAAGCCATTCCATCCACGAGGAGATCCTGCTGTGATTACTTGGGGGCGGGGTGGGATGTATTCTGCTTACATATTGCTTCCCTCTACAGTCTACTTCACAGAGGGATGGAGTCAAAGTATATTAGATGTGCCTCAGGTGCCTTTCCATCTCACTGTTCCCAAAAGAGCAAATTAAGCTTCGCAGGCAAATTGAGATAAAAACCTCATGCGGATATCTGGAGATACTTGGAAGAAATGCGTTAGATGAGTGTTGTGCTGCTTTTTAAGTGAAAAAAGGGCATGAGAAAAACTGTTACTGCTTTCACTGAATATCTCAATATTCATCTTGCCTTGTTCTTGTCCTGACTTGGCCACTGAACAGGGAAGGTGGGAGAGCTTAGAGTCAAGGAGTGGTTAAGCCTCAGCGAGTTGTGGTCTCCACCAGATATTGGTATTACCCAGAAAAGCAAGATCTTGCAAAAATCCAGGAGGCAACATGCTGAGGTCAAGGATGGCATAGCAGCAGGGTTGTAAGGCAAAACCAAGATCAGATCTAATCTAAAATTAAGAATTATGCTAGGAGTAAGTTAAAAACTCAGGGATCTGTAGCACAGGATCTCTCAGAAGAAGAAGAAGGAAGAAAAATACACAGGGACTGCAGAGTGCTAAGACCTATATTATTCTGAGATTCAGGCCGATCAAAATGACAAAGGAGCCAAATAATTCAGAGATGGAGCGAAGATTTCACCCACAGGACATATATTACAAGATATTTTCTGGATGTAAATTCATCATGTAATTCTCCAGGTAATTAGGAGACCAAAATGGGAAGCCCATTCAGGGGACTGAAAAAGCACTGTGAAATCTGTCAGGTTCTTCTGTGTGGGTTTAGATAATTTTTTAAATAATGTTTAATTGTTTTTTAACTTTGTAATTTACTGTGGTTTTAGTCTAGCTTGTTTTAATCATTCTGAGCCACCTTGGGTCCCTCACCAGGAGAAAGGTGACCTAGAAATGAAACAAACAGACAAACTAGTTCTGTCAGTCTTATGTGTAGGCATAGAAGAGCTACAATCTTTATTAGGAATCAGTTCTTGATTTGACCCATTTCTTCTCTTTCAAAACTCTTTCCCCTTTTATGTGTGTCTTTTAGGCTATATGTCTCATAGATACGGAACTTGATTACTGATATTGCTATGTGAAGTATGCATCCTATGGTCCAGTACAGTCTTCCCCAACCTGGTGACTTCAAGATATTTTACATGATAACTCATCCCCGTCTGTTAGACGTCTTGGGTGGGACTGCAGGGAGTTGTAGTACAAAATGTTGTAGAGGCTGCCAAGTTTAGGCAGGCTGTGATAGATGTAACTAGCTATAGTTTTTGGCTGGAACAAGCATCGCATTTCTCTTTGTCTTGTGCTGATTGTTATCTATAACTATTCAGATCTGTATTTTTTTTTCTCCCCTTGTAGGACATTTCCTGTACCTGAGAGCCAAGTCAACAGGCATAAAAGGCGAAAAGGCACATCTGAGGAGTTCCAGGTGGACAGAATCTGGTACTGCTTGCACACTGAATTTCTGGTACTATATGTTTTCAAAAGCCACAGGACATATCCAAGTTCTCATTAAGGTAGAAGCTTCACTTCATCTCTTCTTTCCATCACTTGATAGTTCGTCTTCTCCAGCAAAAAGTGCTTTGTGTAGCTGTTTGTCAAGTCAGCAAACTGGTGTTGCTTGAGATACCCTGTTGTGTTGTTCTCCACACAATTTTGTCTCCCATTTTAACCCCTCACTTTCTTAAATTTGATAGATTTCAATCATGATAGCACTTTTGAGTGCAGAGCTTTACAAGTATGATTGCCACACAAGGCAATTCACTGTTGTTTGAAAAGATTTTCTTCTCACACAACAGCCATGGAGCAAGGCATCATTGCTTGTAAGAGCACATCATAATGATTTGTTTCAGAGATGCTGTCACTCAGAATAGGCAATACTGGACTATATGCCCCAATAATTGGACCTTTTCAAAGGCACCTTTCTGTGTTTTGTGTAAGAAATATGGATGAGCACCCATTCAACAGAAGCCTGAATTACTAACCAGATTGGCCTCATTTAAACTGATTTGTATGAGGTCCTGATCAACATGGAATGGAAATTCTGGATTCTGAGATGAAGAAAAGCAAATTTACAAACCAGTTTATATCTGGAGCAGAAATCAAACAGGGCACAAACTGCTTTAATGTTCCTTTTTTGCTTTTTGAATTCTAGTCAACAGGAGGTTTAGAAATCAATCCAAATTCAAAGCACAAATAGAATTGGATGAGGCACAAACAGAATTAAGAGCCATTCAGAAGCCCAAAACTGAATCTGAAAACTCTAGGAAGACAGCTTCAGTGCTACATAGGCAGCCATGCTTAGGCATATATACCAGTAACTATGAAGTGTGTGTTCCTATGTTCGTGCTGTTCAAGATAAGAAGTTAGTATGAACCACACTGTGGGGTGATATGCTTTGTTTAAATTTTTACAAAATGTAATTGCCTTGCCTGAAGATGAGCATATTGAGACACAAAACACGAGAAAGCCATTTCAAAGAGTTTCAAGCCAGGGCCTCAGCCTGTGTGTTAAGACAAAATTGTATGATGCATCAAAACAATTCATTAAGAGAACTCTCCCTCTCTGCCTCCTTCTTGTATTGCTCTCTCTGTGCAACATTTTCCTTTCAAATGGCAAACATCTGTCAGACATTTTAAAAAGCATATATATTTATATTTTTCATGTTAGCAAAATGTTAGCTTTGTATTTGGTCCCCTGTTGTTGAAAGCAATATGTAACTGTGTGGTTTTTGAAATGCTGATATCTGTCAGGAGAAAATGTTCCACAGCAAACATAAGTGGAATGAGAATATAAGAAACCACACCTGTGTCACTTCACTTCTGAATATTTTTTTCCGCTGAGTGCTCTGCCACTTTTGTCTTTTCAAGAATGACATTTTACCCCTGCGAACCCACAAGGATAAAAGGATTATTCCCTCAGGAATCTTGACATGGCATTTAGAAGGGTGTCACTTGATTTTTTAAAAATCCGTAAAAAATTTACATAGTTAACTCCTTGCCTATTATTCTACTCAATTTTTGTTAAAATGCAAATATAGACTAGAACGTCTGAATAAGTATACCACCATCTATTAAATGTTGCCCAGTGCCCTAGAAAGGCACTGGCCCAGATAAGGAGGAATTGTGTTGTTTGGGGTGGGGTGGGTGGGGGTGTGAAAGATGACACCTACAGGTCTACCCCCCCAACCCAGACATCGCATAGCCCTCTGCAGACGTTTGTGCTGAACACAGGGAGTAACATCAAAATGGGGGAATGTGGAAGCAGGGCTTGCCTGTGTTCCCCACAGCTGCATCTTCCATATGTCCCTCATCACATTTTCAGTATTATGTTGTTCACCTGTGATATTGCATCTCAGATTAGGAAAGAGATCATTAGGATCTGAATAGTTCCTTTTTATTCTCATTCTTTCTCTCTCTCTCTCTCTCTCTCTCTCTCTGTGTGTGTGTGTGTGTGTGTGTACATTCTTTAAGATGCAAAATAGACTTTCCCTGTTTATCTATGCAAATGTATAAAATGTGGCATGGATAAACATGGAGGGAAAGGGATGATGTCCATATCATAAGCTCCCCCTACATGTGCTAAGAAAAACTTGTGTCATTGCTTCTCTGCTAAGCCGCCTGGGGTCCCTGCTGGCCACAGAGAAATGAAGGCCCATTAGAGGGATGTCCCTCAGAATCCTATTGATACTTTACTCTACAGCAAGTAAAATTGTGTAAGTTACTGTGGCAGATTTCACCCACCAAGGGGCCATTCCCAAGCCTGGTAGCATGATGGGTTGCCACCATACATGGCACATTGTTAATTAGTCACTGCTACTTATGTGATTTCACTAACTGTAATGTAAAATTCTAATAAGATTCTGGCCACTATTTCTCTTCTAGAAATCTGCTTGTTATTTACCCTACTATAGGACTTTATCTGTATTTGTTTATTCCATTTTATTTACCAGATTGCTAAGAGACTAATAGCCTCCATTTCTAAGATGGCTTTATATTGTATTTGTTTTTCTCTGCAGGCAGTGTGAAAAGAGAGGCAATTTGCCTTTCAGCTGGTTAAGGACATATTCTGAGGGCTAGTAATTTTTGTTGGCTTATTTACACAACTGCTTAGACACCCCTAGTTACTTTATTAGAATAAACCATTAGACAGAGTGAGGCAAGCACCTCAGGTGGCAGATCTGGAAGGGAGAAGAATCTTAGAACAATCCCAACAGTGTTGAAGGACCCTCAAACTGTCAACCAAATGTTGTAGCTTTTTTTATCAGGCGTCATCAGCTATTGCTTTTCTGAACTATTGTAAGGAATGGAGGAAAGCAAGATGCAGCCATAAGTAAACAGACTGGTTCATTGGTCCAGATTCAGATGTTAATAACATAGCATTCTCTGTAATATCCCTGAAAGCTTCAGCAAAGTACTATTTACAAATATTGAACAAATTGTACAACAGTGAAAAATGTCTGGCATTGCATTGTTTAGGTTATATTTCAAAACCAACCTCTTTGACCACCATCCTGGTCAACCATGATGATGGTCCATACATTTGTGTGAACATAAGCAGCACTTTGTGTCTCAGCCATTAATAGCATCGTGGCACAAACTAGGGCCATCAATGATATTGCTGAACATCATTCAAGCACAGCTTGGTCATCAAATTCAACAGCCTCATAATGCATTTAGAAACACCGAAGGTTCTTGCCTTTGTTCGTTGTGGCTCAGGTGATACTTGATCCCATATCTCCCACTCATCCAGCCCTACACACACCCTGCCTCCAACCTCTTTCTACCCCTTTACTGTTCTTGGTGCTCAACATAAACAACAGTGTGGAGAAGAATGTTAGTTTGTTGTGAACTTTATTTGGCAGTTATTGTCCAGTGCTATATGATGTTCTTGGAGATGCAGTTTGTAGAAACACATGCTTATCCATAAGAAGTAAAGTTGCAGAACATAGAGTGCTTTTATCTGGTGGGATTGAATTGGCAGCTGCTTAGTCCCATATAATTACATGATGGTGAAATTATTATAGGTAACGTTGAGCTAACATTTTTTATTATGACCTGAGCTAACTTCAGTATGCAGTCAACCTGATTTGAATCAAGGTGGCTTGATTCCAAATTCCAGTTTCTAGCAAAACAGCTTGACTTATTTCCGGGCCACTCCAAACCAGTTCATGAACCCAGCCTACCAATGAAGTAGCCTGAGGGGATGTAATTTCCCCAGGGGAGTAGAAGTCTTGTATAGCTTGGATCAGTAACTTGGATCAGCCTTGGGTAACCGAAGTATCCTTGGACTTCAACTCCCAGAAACACTGGCCGGCACAGATGGTGATGAAGGCTTTGGGGAGTTGCAGTCCAAGAAAACCTGGATTACCTAAGGTTGGGAACCACTGGCTTGGATTAAACCGTCATCTGAAGATTAATTCATGGGGCATAGTGCTCATCTAAACAGCTTGACATATTTCCGGGCCACTCCAAACCATTTCATGAACCCAGCCTACCAATGAAGTAGCCTGAGGGGATGTAATTTCCCCAGGGGAGTAGAAGTCTTGTATAGCTTGCATCAGTAACTTGGATCAGCCTTGGGTAACCGAAGTATCCTTGGACTTCAACTCCCAGAAACACTGGCCGGCACAGATGGTGATGAAGGCTTTGGGGAATTGCAGTCCAAGAAAAACTGGTTTACCTAAGGTTGGGAATCACTGTCTTGGATTAAACCGTCATCTGAAGATTAATTCATGGGGCATAGTGCTCATCTTGTATTTGTCAGCAGTATGGCAAACTTCCAAGACATGCATTTTGGAGCCAGCAAATCTCAATGACATTTTTTGTTTGTTTGCAATGTGTTATTAGGAACATGGGTAATTAGCTAGCCATACCTAGTCAATTCTGTTTATGAATCCCATCAATTAACATTTTACAAATCAGACCAAATGCTAGCCTAGTCAATTCTGTTTATGAATCCCATCAAATAACATTTTACAAATCAGACCAAATGAAGGAGGAGGAGGAGGAGGGGGAACTGTGTGCATATTCAGCAACTCAGTGGTTCGGAAGAAGAAGAAGAAGAAGAAGAAGAAGAAGAAGAAGAAGAAGAAGAAGAAGAAGAAGAAGAAGAAGAAGAAGAAGAAGAAGAGAGGGAACTGTGTGCACATTCAGCAACTCATGGTTTGGAGGTAGTATTGATCCCAGAGGAAAATTTCTGTTTAACAGATTTGACTCCTTTTAGGTGATGTTAGTATAATTAATCCAAAATAATAATGGAAGGAACAGGTACATAGAAATCAGTAATAACAGAAACAAATGAGCAATGATGGGAAAGTAGTTATAATAGATAATCCATTGGGAAATTAATGAGATCTATAAAGTCTCAGAAGAACATTTTATCATAGGTTACATTGCATTTCCTGAGAATGAGAAAAGGGAAATTATACTAGTATCGTTGCAGGTAAATTACTATAAATAATCTCTTGATTTTCTTAACCTATGTAGCTTAAACATTCATTCAAAACTTTAGTGGA